CAATGTATCCAACGATGCTACACTTCAAGCTAGCTTCGAGTTGCTATCTGAGCACCAAGCCTCTCTTAACTTACACGGTTTCAGCATCCTCGGAATAATGACCCTACTACACGAATGCTTGCAATGTTCAGTATTCCAATGGTCGAGCCAATATTACAAACAGACTAGAGGCTTGACTATGGGGCAACGTCTCGCACCTACTTTGGCAATCACTTTCGTGTCTAAGATGGAAGCGCCAGTGCTGCAGCAAAAACCCCTGCTTTATGGTCGCTAATAGATGACTGCTGCGTCATATGTCCAACTCACGCCGAAGTAGATACTTGCTTCCAAATATTAAACCAGCAGTCACCAAACATCGTTTTCACCAAGGAGAAGCCTACTGGGGGGATGGTTGGCGTTTCTGAATGTGCAGGTCCATCTAGCAGGAGGAAGTTACAAAACTAAGTGGTATGGCAAACCCAGCAGTATAACATTCTTTGTCTGCACATCCAAATAACACAAAACGGTCTATTGCGGGCAATATGTACAAAGCAGCTCTGCGGGTATGTTCCGGCAGCGACGAGCGATCATACTACATCGCCTTGGCCCAGGGGATTGCTGCTTCCAATGGCTATGCTGCGCTTGAGCACGGCCGTGGAGCACGCGGGTGTTCTGGGGCGGAGCTCATGATATGAGCACTGATAACGAGATCCCCTTCTGCCTGCCATTCATTTCTGATGTATTGAGCAGGGCAGTGCGGCGAGGCGTACACCAGGCGGGCCTGCACGGCGTGGTAAGAGTGGTCGATATTCCTCCAGCTAATCTTAAACGACGATTGGTTCGTAATCGAGCTTATGACCGCATATGTACTACTTCTAACTGCATGGTTTGCCCGTATGGTAAATGTGGGGACTGTATGCTAGCCGGGGTTATTTACCTCATTACATGCTTATCATGCGGCGACACTTACATTGGCTAAACTGGACCCCCGCTTTGCTGCCGCTTTAAGGAGCATATAGACGGTTTAAATAAGCTAAAAGTAGCTACTCCATTAGGGGAACATCATATTACGCGCAATGGTAAGGCTCCTGTACAAGTTACTGTCAAAGGCAGTGGCTCGGCAAATTTCAACCTGGTGAAATTTTCGCTTACCTGGGGTTATTCAATACGCTGATCCCGAAAATGCACTTTTGAGAGCTTGAAAACGGCGAAAACGAGCGTTTTTAATGCCCTTCTTTTCGGAATTAGACGAGTGGAGCAAAGCTGATGACGCTGAATCGTTGCAGGACCCAATGGTTATAACATTGCGGCGGGCAGCCTCCAATGGTGAGAAGGAATTTGCGAACTCGTCCGAATGCGTGCAAGATTAGTCTGCGCGTGTAAGTTTGAGAGCAGTTTTCTCGGCAGGGAAGGCATGCTGTGCAGCCAGGATTGCACTGTTTTCAAACTTGGGCGATGAGGAACCCACCGCGTTGAAATCCTGAGTCGTTGAATTTTGCCGACCCACTGCCTTTAAGATCTTGTTGTTAGAACCCGAGATCCTCACGCGCAAAACTTTAGAAGCGTTTGGATTAGTGCCAAAAATCCAAAAATGAACCGTAAGGAGGAGTGTACCGCCATAAAGGGGGAGCTCGCGCCTTATCAGTCCCTATGCGGATTTGAATATGAGGCGGTGTCATCAAGGCACGTATACTAGGCTGTTGCATAAGTTCTGTCCGATTTTTTTGCCTCATGTTTGAAGCAGCTGTTCTAAGAGAATTTCATGTCTAATTCGATACGGTTGGTATCATTGAAAAGTACTTTCCTTGCGCTTTCTAAAGCATACCAGAATTCAATAAAATTCTTAGTGTACGGAGATCACAGGCCTAAAATCTCTAAGTGGCCGAGGTACGTTCTATCCCTAGAAATATGTCCTTGCGAGGATATCTCCACAATGCGCCCTTCAAGTCAGGTTCTTTCATTGGCTTCGGAATAAGGGTATGGAATGCTAGTATATGCAGAAGTTCGGTCCCATGAAGAATACGTCTTGCTAGTGAAATTTATCCTCGAACATAAATCTTTGGTATAGATGTTTTACAAGCAATAACTTTCTGCGAATAGAAGTAATCGACAAGCTCAAAGTTGGAGGTGCTAGGGCAAAGCAAGAGCTAACAGGGCCCATCCACCAATTCCTTTTCGGCGCTCACGTCAGTTGTAAAACGTTCGTAGTTCATAAATAGGCATGCACACATGTGCTGAAGCGAGGTCAAAAAGTGGCTAATTTTTTGTTCGGTCAAGAAAATCTCTCGGCAGCGCAAACCCTATGGGCTCTTTTATGTTGCATAATAATCTACGAAAATTTCTCTATCCATCCATTATTAGAAAAGATGCCTATCAATTTTCATAAGGGAGCGTTACCATGTCAAAAAAGACAGATTCGAAGAAAAACGCTGCGAAGTTTTTGCATTCTTGGTTCTTCCTTAACAAAGATTTGCGCAGATCTCAATATGCGTTTTTTAGCCAAGGGACTGCTCAACACATAGAAACTAAGACCTTGGAAAAAAGTTGACTCTGAAAGAAGTTATGACATTTTAAACTCAAAAATTCAAATCGGACAGAACTTATGCAACAGCCTAGTAAAAGAGCTGAGGTAATGTCTTGTATATAGGTGGTCCTCGGACTTCCGTCTTGTGCTATCTAAGGTGAGTACTCTGCTTGTGATTATGATTTTGTTAGCATTGGCTTTGTTTTCGGATTATACTTGGTCTTTTGTTGACGTCTGGGTGAGTAAGTTCGTATGATTTCGGCTTGCAGGCTCTGAAGAAGGCGAAAGCGCCGAAACAGCGAAAAAAGAAGTGTTATCAACCTTGGAAGTTTGCTCAGCCATCCCATTACGAGTATCCACCATGCCAAGGTTAAGAGACAGCCGAACCTGGACAATCCATAAGTAAGTGATTATGAATAGCTAATCCTTGAAGGGATACCACGGAATGTTGGCATTCTGTGCTCCTATAAGTTCTTTACGCTCAGCAGGAATAGCAAGTATTTGAAAACATGCATGTGCACATAATCCTGCTCATTTCGTTAAATTTGCCGCTGCGATCTCAAATTCTTTTCTACTGAGTCATTCATCCACGCCCTGCGCATGGGTGGGAGCGAACTGATTGTATTATATATACCCCTTAAGGCAATTAGACTTCCTATGCTGCATGTCAAGCGAGTTGATTTGCCTCATTATCCTCTGTGATAAAATCATAAGTATTGTTACTTCACAACAAAATAAATCCTTAAAAAATAGAAGTCATCTTTAATCAGGAGCACTCCACGAGATAGCGAAAATGACTAGTGAAACCTATTCATGCTATTAACTAGCATGGGTTTGCTGTGACTATGAGCGAACGTGCTAGTTCAATATTACTTGACCAAATTTTGATAATTTTGAAAAACATAAAGATGGTACTGATTTTTTTGACCTCCTCTTTGTCAGTAGGTTTTCAATTTGGTGTTTGCCCGTTGAAACAAATGTGAGCGAGCAATCCCCTAACAGTTTTAAAAAACTGATCTCAAAATATTAATCTTTCGTTATTTCATATCAATGTTTTAAGTTTTTGTCGCTTACTAGCTCTAAAACAAAGATTTGAAGTTTTTAACCCAGTTGTCACTAGAATGACGGAAGTTCTCCATGCAAAGTTCGTGCCAAATCGCAAGGGCAGTTTATCATCGTACTAGGAATCTTATCTTGGCCTCCACTTCATCAACCTGTCTGTTTCCTTATTCTCCTCAACCTGTGACAAATAAACTGCCAGTTTAAGTGTGAACGCGCTGCTCCAACAAATATCCAATCTATAACAATTATGGAGGGCATGCAGGATCCTCCGAAGGCTCGCCGCTTCTTCTCCAGGCGCGCCTTGGGAGGTTATATTAACTTCGCGCCTACCTCACACCTGCGTGGCACCTATCTCGCACCTTCCTGCATTAGTTCCCCTCCGGATAATGCCTTATTCTCCTGGCATAATTAGAAACAGCACATGGGCAACGACTAAATGCCAAGAAAAAAATTATGAAAATGTTGTGAAAGAAATTGATCCCGATCGTGTTCATTGAACGTGTGGTAGGTAAGAGTAGGGTAAAAGCTGATCATGTTTTTTTGAAGGCGTCAGATTAAAGGCAGTGGATAAATGGAGCTTTATCAGATTTTGAAAGTGTTAGGTAAAAGACCCCCAAGCACCCGTAGCCCCAACACCACCCTCTAAATCATGTGCTAGGTCTTGCAAAGAAGCGCCAAAATTCCCCCGCCCACTTCCATTGAGTGGGCGTTACGGGTGGAAATTTGAAGCGGCTTCTCGGGACTTAGCGCAGCATTAGAGGATGGGGTTGGGGCTACAGTGTAGTTCAAAGGTTTAGAAACGTACAACTTTGGAACACAGTTTGGAGTCATCTTTTTTCGCATCTTAGCTGACCATTCAAACTACGATTAATCTTTAGCACTGACTCTTCAAATTTGTATGTTATTCAAAAAATTAGATTTGGGGGAATTTGCCACTCATTATCTTGTTTGTTTCCTCCTTATTGCTAGGTTTGTTCAAATTTCTCTTTTATGCGCTCTTCTGTGGAAGAAAATGATTACAGATTCTTCCATCTGCATTTTTTATGCTTAATTTTCCAAAGAAGCATCTAAATTGGTTGAACATTCAGTTAGCGTTTAACGCCTCTAACCTCACTCACCACGTATGCAAAGCCCACGATTACAAGCAATTCTCTGGTCAATCTGCTTGTTTTAATGTCTGTTTCCCCAGCACTTCCATTTATTTGTAAATTATATACTTGCCTACGGGCTGGCCTTTCTAATTGCTAGGAGAAACAAGGCAATTGTCCGGAAAGGAACTAATGCTTGAATGTGCGAGAATGTACGACGTAGATGCGAGGTAGGCGCGAAGTGAATATTACCTCCCACGGGCGCGGCGGCGAGCCTTTGGAGGACCCTGATACGACGCCAACAATTATGATGCACTGCTTTGGTTGTGTTCGTCCGTGTCAAAAACACTTATGTTCAACGTTTATCGCAAGTGAATGCCAAATTTACAGTCAATCCATCGATAAGGACACAGTTGCGAAAGTTGAAGATTTAAGCTTGAGATACTTCTCAACATGGTCAAGCAATTGTCGCCATCTTTTCTCGGTCATTCGAACAGAAGGGCTCGCCTAAATTTCGACAATTGTAGAATTGTTCGTCGAGAACGGCAAGTCGTCTGTAAGCTCTAACGCTATCTGCCACAAGCACGCTCTCAGAAGATCGCAGCCCGTAGTAGTCGCTAGCTCAAGCACGGTTCATCCGCGAGGTAAGTCCTCTTCTTCTCAAGTTTTTTTAGTGTCAAGAACCGCCCGCTTCAAACCGTAAGACGGAGCGAATTTTTCGAGATAAGCACATCCAAATAGTGAGAGCTTTGTAGGAAAGCACCTCCAAATGGTGAGAGCTTTGTAGGACTTTTTGCGCGGGCTACGAGTTATAGATTGATCAATAATTTCTTTTTTGTTTGCTTACGCGAACCATGGATCACTATTTCTGCATATGTTCTGACGTCATTTTGCAAACCTTGTGCTTATTGAAGGCGCTTTAAAGCGCTAAATATCGTTTCTCAAAAGTTAGGATCACGTTGCCCAGCTATTTCCAGGAAGTTGAAAATGACTAACAAGTATAGCCTTGATCCTTTCGGATGTAGGGCGTTAGTTGACAATTTCACTTCTTTATGGGTTTTTTTGCAACACTCGGAAGCAAAAATCTTAAAGAGGAGACTCTCATGAATGGTAACAGCGCATGATGCGAAACTCGCCTACATAGGCATCGGATCATTAAAGAAGTAATCACAAGATGTGCAAACCTACTTAAAAGCTGAGAGAATCACTTACTCTGATTTTCCCCCAGACTTGAACATGGTTGTTGCTCAGGACCTTTATGTCCTCCTTAGATTTTCCGCTGGGTACGTCCTTTGTATAACATGCAGTGGACTCCCCTCCAACGCAGCATCTGCATAGATATCTTCGCCATACGATTATTATCCCATTTGAAAAATGTTTACCTGACTGGCCAATAGGGGATCTCAATGTTCAGCTCTTTAGGGTTTATTGACTGTTTTTTGGCAGCGTCTATTATCTACATGACTATCGTCAAAAATTCGACTCAACCTTTACTGGAAACTCACGGCTCTTTTCATGAATGCTTGAAATATATTCCTAGCCCTTCTGAAATCACGGCGAATTTTCGCAGTCCCGCTGTTCCCACAATAGGTAAACTCAGTCTTCCAAGTCCCATTGATACCCAAGATGTCGAAATTGATTACTGAAATTTTGTATCAATTATTGTGTTGCAACCAATGAGAATCCTGCTATGATTGATACAAATGCGACAAATGTAAGAAAGGTATGTTATGTTTTTCATGGTAAGAAGTTCGGCTTGAATGCCTGAATCAAAACTTTGCTTCTCAACGATAGGCATTAAGCAAATTCAGCGTAGGCATAACAGTCTACCACTTCGTAGTCAAGATTATTTAGAACTGTCAAAAGTAAGAAGACAAATAAACAGTTTTGATAGGTGAAGTTCTTATCAGGAAACCATCCCAACTTAGTGTGGCGGACTGAAACAAACTGCATGTCATTAGATTCGGATTGATGAGCTGTTACCAAAGCTATCTTTCTTATCTGCGATGCCGCTCTTTGGGGGGGGGGGGGGCTTCAATGTATAGTTGCTTTGAAATCAACTTGGTAGTGCATGTTTATCATGATATTGAGTTACTGATTTCGAGGGGTACTCGGGGTACTCACATTTACCGAAAACAAAAATGATTAGACAACTAACTAAAGGTGTGGCGTTAAAGGTTGGCCATTAGACTTTTGAACGCTTAAAACCATTTCCAAAGAACTGGTTTGACATGGAAGTTAGATTTGGAAACAGCTCATTAAGGCACATTCATTGAATTGCAGCTCATTTCAGTTTGTTATCTTAATTTGGGATTTCCCTCGTCAGCGGTACCTTGTAATGTAGATTCGGTCGTGGTCGCGGGTGTCCTCCTGGTAGTTTTAGCTAAAGCCTGTAATGAACCGGTTACAATGATTGTGTTCTTTGTGTTTCTAGCGGCCTTTCCACTCTTTGGGGCAGTGCTGTCTGAGATAATTACAGCCTCAGTCAAAAAATTGTTTGTTAAGATGCTTGTATATGGAGCTGTGTGTTCTGAGGTTGTTGTGTCTTCGGTCGTGATGGGTACTGCCGATGGAGTGCCTTTGACAGTTACTGCGCTCCAGCACACTTTAGCTTGCCTTTTGCGTCATAAATGAGGGACACAGTTGGGAGAAAGAAGAACGTGAAGAAACTTGTCAACCTCCACGTTAGAGCACTGTCTTAGCTTTGAGTTGCCACGACGCCTTATACTAATCTGAGAGCCAATGGCAAGTTGTATGTTTGTATGTTTCAACTGAAAAATTTTATTTTCGAACCATCCGGACCAAATTTATCCACAAAGTTTCGGGGTAGGCGAGTGTCATAAGCTAGTCTTTGTTCTCGATCGATGTTCTTATCGGTTTTTGAAAAACTTTGCGCTGCGGGGTTGGGAATTGGTACGGGGAATAAGCGAGCATGCAATAGTCCTGCATTTCAGTGGACTACCTCAGCAAAATTTATCCAACTAAATTCTATCAGTTAAAGAATGTGGAATGTGTTTCTAATATATAAGTGTTGCTAGTAGTAATTATTCCTGCTTGTAAAATTCTACATAATGTTCAGCAAAGGGACTGGTTTCGCATGTAACTCACTGAAGGAATTTGCACCATTCTTGGGATAGCTAACCCTCGCTCGTGGATTCCGGAACCCACAAGAATTGATTTATCAATTTCGATACGGATATGCTCGCCTTTTAGCGTATCCACTGAGTTGAGTGTGAAACCGGTTAAGTGCCTTTTCGTAGGTTCCGGTGACCAGCAGCAATATAGCAGGTCTATTTGAGCGCGGTTTGGCAGAAAGAGAGCTGAGGAACAGCGGAAGTGCATCTAAAGGGTTAACTCAAAGCGCTGTCCTGTAGCTCACAGCATTGCAAAGGTGGTACGTTACTCACTTTTTTACATATCAAACGACTCCTTAGATAGTAGGAAACTTTTACTTAACTGCAAACAAGTGACTATCTCCCAAAAGCCTTTGAAGATCGTGCATCCGTCAGAAGAGTGGATCGCAAGGCCAGGACGGGATCAAAGGAAGGCTTAAAGGCACCGTCCACCCGAAGCGGGGGTTCACGAGATTCGATGGCATACTAATGTGGGCCCATACACTAGGCCAACCCCAAGTAGCGCCGCAAAATAATCCTTTCGAAGCGAGAAATCCGCCCGGAAGGTACGTAATCCAGAGCTTGTCACTACGCCCAGCTGGTCACTCCGCTCATTTTGCAGGTTTGGCGAGCTGCGGCGCTGATATACGCCGGGCGTATAACGCGCCGCAGCTCTGCGACTTGCACTGCGTCGTTCTCCAAAGCGGAGCCTTTTGGTTATTTCGCGGACTCTCGACTACATATTCGGAATCACGACCTTCAAAAGACCTGGAAGCGACAAAAACATGGAAGTCGAGAATTTGGATGGACGGTGCCTTTAAAGATCGGAGCAGCGCCAAAATAAACTGGAACACTCATCATACCGGAACACCGAGTTGACAGCGAGGCAAATGCCGGAAGCGTGAAGCAAGTTTTGAAGAGAGTCGCTCAAGGATGCCAGCTTTGATAGCCTCAGCATCACTAGAACACCGCGACTCTTCTTTAAAGCCGTCCGAAAGAGAAACCATGAAGCCAGATCATAAAAGACGGTCGAGCAGTACAAGCCCTAATTTGCAACCGACCGTCTGGGAATACTGAAGCGAAATCTCGGAAACAGGGGAACAGTGAGAGTCTTACCGTGACTTCGATATTGCTGACACTAAGTAGGGCTCAAACATGATCGTGCTCAACCTTTTCACGCTCGACAAGCATTAAGCGAGTAAATCAAAATTCGATGGCATTTCTGATGCTCACATCCAAGAGTTCTGATCGGAAAAGTAGGGTCGTACGTGACAAATGCCACATGTGCTGTTCCAACAGCAAGGTCACCTTTCCGCCTTTGAAGCCGCCTGAACCGTTCCGCTTGTACATATCCGGCACGAGTGCTTTTTTCCAGGCATTTCCTGCAAAACGTCAAGAAGTACCCTTTGATTCAACAGGATTGGCGGATGAAGGCTAGCGCTCGCACCCGCAACGTAATATGCGTCTCCTTTGCGAGCGTGCTCTCCAATCATCTCCTAGCCCTATTTAGGTCTCGAAGTCCCGCCTTCCAGCCGCCAATCCAGTTGAATGAAAAAGTACAATGCGTGATTCCAGATAACTTCCTTGGGCACTACGGCTACCCCCGCGGACTTTGAGAAACCCGGATTCTTGGCAGTTTACACTGTCAGGTCACATCCAGAGGTGCGATAGGTGGAGCACGCCCCCCCCCCCGCAAAAGTAAAGGTGGTTCCAGTCACCACCGGCCGGCCAAAACTGAAGGTGGTAATGCCGGACACTCACCTCCCAAAAACGTCGACCGAGGGGGGACTTCGGATAATTGAAGAACTCTCACCTAACGGCCACTTTGAGGGCCAACAATTGTGACCTAACGGCCCTCTTTAGGGCCAGAAATACGATGAGTACAGCGGCATAAAAATAAAAAATAAACGTGTTACTCAAAAGGTCTATTTGTAAGTAAAACCCAGCTTGACTTTACGTATTATAATAAGTAAATATTGTTTTAACATACTGCGAATAAAGTAGGTTGATCCAGGCAGTAACCAACGAGAACCAGAATTTCGAATAATAAAATAACGTAAAATCATGCAAAATTTCCACAGTATCTGGCGGTTAAAGATGTCAGCAATTGCGACTTCATAGGTTTTGAAGGGCAAGTGTTGTTCTATCAGACAGTGAAAGAATTAGGTCGATTTGAGCAGTGGCCGCCAAGAACGAGAATTTCAAAAATTAAGCGATTTTAAGTGACTTAGTGACAGCTGACGTTTAGACTCCTTTAAATCTGGAATGTGAACGTGTGTAATGTTGCGACTTCATAAGTTGTGTAGAGTAAGGATTGCCTTATTTATATCTTAGCCGTACCGATCCATTGAAACAACGCCGAGATCCAGGCTCTTGAAAAAACAGGTAAAAAACCGCTTTTTGGAGTTCAACAGCTCATAACTTCTTAAGAATTGCATGAATCATGTTTCGGTCTCATAGGTTGGATTCTCCTCTTCAAGAGCTTTCAGATGATGTATATTATGCAGCTCTAACCCAGGGTGGAAACTTTTCAGCCCAAAGTGTCCACCTCGCCCATGTTAATGTATTGGCTGGAGACCGCCAGTGGAGACTTTGGGGTGAAAAGTCTCCGCCCCCGGGCATATGCCGTGAGAGGCGCGAAACCCCCACATATTATATATTTTCTGAAAGCTCTTGAAGGGGAGAATCCAACTTATGAAATCGCAACATAAATCATGCAATTCTGTAGAAGTTATGAGCTGTTGAAGTTCAAAAAGCGGTTTTTTACCTGTTTCTTTAAGAGCCTGAATCTCGGCGGTATCTCAATAGATTGGTACGACTAAAACATAGTCCGATAGAGAAATTTTTACTTTGTAAAACCTATGAAGTCGCAACATTGCACATCTTCACATTCCAGATTTATAGGAGTCTACACGTCAGCTGTCACTAAGTAACTTAAAATCGCTTAATTTTTTGAAATTCTCGTTCTTGGCGGCCACTGCTTAAGTCGACCTAATTCTTTCACTGTCTGGTAGAACAACACTTGCCCTTCAAAACCTTTAAAGTCGCAATTGCTGATATCTTCAATCACCAGATTTGTAACAGTGGAAATTTCGCATGATTTTTCGCTACTTTATCATTCAAAATTCTGGTTCTCCGCGGTTACTGCCTAGATCGACCTACTACATAGATACATGCTCTCACTACTTTTTTTGCGTTTCTTTTGCTTATTTTCCTTTTTTTGAGCCTCAGCAAAAAAATTTTTTCAAACCCAAAAATGAAGGTGGTCACTCCGTACCAGCTCAAAAGTGAAGGTAGGCGGAGACTCGGCTCCGACTATCGCACCTCTGGTGTCACATCTATCATAAAACTGGATATTTGCTTTAATTTTGGTTGAGGATGGCCACGACAGACGTGACCATCCAGAAACGTAGCGAAATGTTGCAGTTGAAACCCATGGATTTTACGATGTCTTACCGTAGTCTCTCATGTTCTGGGATGGGAAAGGCGGCTAACATTTTGAACCGTTGCAAAAATGTCAGCGAAGGTGCCTTCACCAACAAGAGCTTTTTTCGGTTGCAGATTTCTATGCCTATCGCATGTCGATAAGGTCCACGTCCTTTAACCACGTCGTAAAATGTCGCCAGCTTTCACCAATTTTTCGTGCACATGGACGCTAATCAAGAATGAATGGCTCTTTATCAGTTGACACAAGCAGCGAAAGTACGTGCAGACGACTACATCCACCTGCGGGATGCCGTGTTCGAAGACGAAAATAATACTGACTACCAACCTCCTTTATGGGCAGCCCTGCCACACGAGTACACTCAAGATGTCATGACCTATGTTAGAGCATATAGATGTTCTAATCTGTTCCTAACGCTTACGTGCAGCCCCTGCGTGGACCAACCAAAATTGCGGAAGCGCTCTTCCCTGTGAAGCGCCTTCTGACCGCTATGAATCACGGCGAGTGTCTTTGAACAGAAGTTCAAAAAGCTTATGAAAGTACTAAAAAGAGTCATGTCTAGGGGAACACTCGCTGCTGAATGTACACTATGGGAACGTGTTTTCGCATGCCCACACCTTAGTGTGATCGAAGGAAAAAATTGCACAGGTTAGATCAACAGCATCCCCTCGGCGGAACTTCCCCGTCGAAAAGAGGACACCTGTCTATTCGATTCTCTTAAAAACATGATTTTTGGGCCATGTTACCATCGATTTAAGGTCGCCTTGCATAAAAGAAGGCACATGTACCGAAGAATTCCTTCGAAGTTGATTCGCGTAACACAAACGGGATC